GAAAAAATGGAGGCTAATATGCAATCAGCAACCATTCTTCAGATAAATCACTCAAAGCCATACAAAAGCAACAACTTGTGTCTCTTCACAGAATAGTCACATTCATCACATGGGATATTTGAGTACAGCAGTGCCATGGGGCACCCAGATTAAGGGTTTCTAATCAACTGGTCAGCTGGTGGATGATTACACTGAAGGAGTAGGACGTGCTGGATAATCCTCAGAAAGAGCTGACCCACATCACAACTTCACTGACAAGGACGCAAAGAAAGAGAGTGAGTGTGTGTGAATGTCTTTATGCATGTGTTGAGTGTTTACAGTAAGTGTGTGTGAGTGCGCATTTCTAGCCAAGTCTCCAGCCTGCAACCCAGAAGATAAGCAGCAGTGATAATGCCAGCAACAGAGGACTGATCCTGGAAGCAAATCAATGCTTAACAGGCTTGGCACAGGGACTGCCCCCCTTTCCTACCCCATATCTAATTTTTTCCCTGCTGCACCATCGCAGCTTAAGAGTGAAAACTCCAATTTAACCAGGAGCCACCACAACAATTTGGCTAGACCTCTCCACAAATTGAAAACATTTGGTGTTTTTAAGCTGACAGATGCATGGGATGGTTTCACCATCTGCACAGCCAATCATTCACTGTTCAGATTAATCCTCACTCTTTAATGATATAAGCTGCAAGAGCGTTGAGGCCAAGGAATAAATACTAGGACTGTGGTTTTGGGAACTACACGAGGTTGACTGGTAGCAGATGCAAAGGCTCAAGGCTGCAACTGAGCGTTGGTTTACATTCACAACAACATTAAAACTTTGGGAAAAAACGACAACTGAGCTAGATAAACCTCTGAATTGTGCTTTGTGTGTGGTAACATTAGTTTATGGCACATTCTTGAACATTTTACTAACTTTTAATGTCATTAACCCTTTTAAGGTAGATTTAGGATTGAGGCTCGTTGCAACAGCCAGGGTTCAACAGAGAGGAAGCCGACAGAGCCAGTCAACTGCAGGGACTAATAGTCGAGGCTTGGCAGTCAGTCGTGGTACAGTGCAGTCTTGGGATGAGGATGAAGGCACAGAGAGACATAAATGATTAAACACACAACCATTACAGAGTGCACAATGGTGCATGCAGTCTTCAGATGTAAGACCATTTTTGATAGTGTTAAAACACTCTACGCTTCCACAAACACATCCATCTAATCATACTTACTGCCACCTCTGAGACAATCAGTCAGACTCATCAGTTTTGCCCCAATTCCTAGCCAGTTTTACCCTGAGGAGGTGTGGCCATGGCTCCTCCTAGTGGTTAATGAGAGTCACTAGGACCTACTAACTAGTTTTTACATGAACAAATCATCTTCACTTCATGATATTATCTTTTAAAGCCTTTTAAAATCTCACCCGTAGCCACGGAAGCATCTGAAACTTGATTTTCCCCAGGTACAGCAGTGGCTTCTGTGTGACTTATCCTGGTTGTTGGGGTTTTAGCACATAGAGTCCATAGAAAAGTGGATTTGTCTGTAATCTAATTTCACCCGTGATGCAAATCAGCTTAGGTTCTTGTATCCTGGATCCAGGCATCTCTTTTCTCCTCTGGGCAGCTTTAACAGTGCTGCACTTTAGGTACAGCTGGCTCTACATTCACTATCAGTCCTGCTGCCAAAAAATATTCCAATCCACTCATCTGCCCCAGTTTCTATGATCTGTTTGGAGTAAAAATAGATCAGCGAATTGCTTTATTTTATTTAAAAAAAAACCTTCAGAAGTAGCATTACTGCTTATTTACACCGTCAACACACCAATCATATTTTTTTTTACCAGCAAGATGTTAGTTTCATTTAAGAAAGGCAAAATATAATGTTTAGGTAACAAATCCTGAAAAGTGATAACCTGCAGTGCAGCCTTGCAATGAATATACCATTAATGAGGCTATTTTCTCAGTAGATTCACCCTCTGTGTCAGTTCAATAGCAAAGGACACTCCTCACTGCAGTGTCTGTATCAGATGAACCCACTGCAGAGACGGAAATCTCGGAAATCCTGACAGGGCTAAAGGGATGGATTCATCAATATGTTGCAGCCACTGCTTCACCAATACGGCTCGTCAACCAACACGCACAGAGGTGGCTGTCTGGATGGCTCCCTTTGAATCAGCAAAGAAGCAGTCTGCACTCCGTCTGTCCTTGAATAGCTCAGTGTTTTTTAGCTGGCCTGTCTGTCTGGTGGGATCTTGTTGAGAGACAGGGACGCTAAATTAGTGATGAGCAAAGGAGAACTGCTGCTCACCTGAGCAGGGGACAGAAGCTGACTCGCCTTCTCTGAAGTGAAAAAAAGAAATTGGTAGCCCAACACTGGAATCTACAGACGTTGAAAAGCTCACTACTACTGAGGAGACATGGAGGAGAGGGAAGGCAGAGGCCACCAGGCCAAGCAAGCATAGCAAGAACCATTTTACACCAATGCCCTCCAGCCTCTTTGTTTGCCCTCCCCTAAAATGACTCGGTGGTATTAGGTATACTGACAGACACTCTAGAGGAAGCATGTGCACATATGAAACCCACTGACACTCAATGGAAAGTCAGGCAGCAACACACAGGCATGTGTTCAACAGACAAACACGCATTCCACATAGACTGGCACCTTTCAATTACATCCCAAAAATCCATCATTTAGGTTATGAAGTATGCTAGTCTGTTATAAAGTGCTTATGAAGCTGGATTAGTGAAACCACTTCAACATGTTGATCTCTGATAGCGGTCAGTAGGAACATTTTTGAAATCATGCTGCCTCTAAAAACAATATCAATAATAGATACAAAAACACACACCAACATCAAATCAGATATGCCGTCAACCCAACACCTCATCCCAGTGACTCACAACCACACAATGCATCTGTTCTTGGACATCTCTTTTTCTGACGTGACACTTTCAACTTCCCAGAATGGGATCAAAACATTTTATCTCAACTTCCTCCACAAGACCTGGTCACATGGCGTCATTGTCAAATAAACATCAAGTTATCTTATCAAGTCAAACACTATAGCTGAACAGATTAATCAAACCGAAAATTGGTTAACTCAATTTAGTCATTTATCACATTAATGACTGTGGTTACATGATGATTTTACAAACTAAAAGATAAAGAAAAAAATTAAAATAACAGATTGAAAAATTAAAAAAAACAAACATTTTTTTAGTTTCTAATCGATGTCGACTTCCTGATGATTCAAACAACCTCCTTAAAAGAACAAGTCCAAATTTCACCCACAAAGAGATACGCGATAATGCTGCATCATTATCACATAAATAGTCTACCAGAAAAAAGGCACTTTGATAGTCAGTGGAAGACTGAATACACAGTCCCAAGCTTCCTCACTTAAGACTCTTTGTTCTATTATTGTGTGCTTTGAAGAGTAGAAGTCTTTCTGCAGAGTGGCTATGTGACTGCATCCTGGCTGCTATAAAAAGGCCACTCCTGCCCCGACATCGGAGAGAAGGGAACAGTGCCGACAGTGAGTGGTGCTGCACTTAGTAGGTCTGTCTGTCTGTGTATGTACTTCAAACTGAGGAGGGTTACTTTTCAGATGTGACAGCCAGGAATTGAAAATGCTTTCCATTCCCAAAAGCTTGCACCTTCTGCATGTCCTCGCTTCTCTCGCAATGGTGTGAGGAAGTTGGGTCTAGGACATCAGCGGAAACTAGACATGTTGAGCCAGTAGTTTTACATCTATGCAGCACATGTGAAGAGACCACCCATTGGATGAGAGATGTGAGTGACGAACAAAACTAACAGCAAGTTGACAGACATCAAATAACACCAAATTTACACTCAGAAAAGCCCTGTATGAATAAAATGCATTACAATGACAATGCCACCTAGTTGGCATCCTGTCATTTTCATTACTTATCACCACAGATCAGCCTCTGAGAGACACTGCCTAAGGGGAGAAGGCTGGGATGAAAGAGGCAGGCCATCCGGGGCATGGCGGAGTCAAGGCTGGGCAGTTTTTCTCCATGGCTCAAAGGGGGGGAGAGATAGTGTAGATCTGTGCTGTCCTCCATGACTCACAGTGCTGACGACAATATCAATGCATAGCTATAGCTCTGAGGCAGGAACATGGTCGATGGTGGGGTGACTAGTACCACCACCTCTGTCTTGTCTGTGTCATTTTTTTCATGTGACCACTAACCCACATTATTCCAGCAATACATGAGTAACCTCATGAATTCACTGATCATGTGAGACTATAGACGTTGAGATATTAAACTTTAATTACGCAGTAGCTTTAAATTTTGATGCTTGCCTGCGTGTAATCACATAATGACAGAAGGTGACTTAAATAATTCACATCGATTTCCCACTGGATCAAACTGTGCAGTCAGCTGGCTGAGTGCGTTGTAACATTAGAAATGATCAGACAGAGGATGTAAGTGAGCATGTGAAACCACTAGGTATTGTAATGTGAGCCTGTGGTGGCTGCCATAGTGACTTAATGGAGTGGAATTGCTACTCAACCTCCGGAGGCAAGAATCACTGTTTACCAAACCACGTATGGCTAAGACAGGCCTTGGAGATAAACTTCACTTGCTAACCTGCGGCCGTGACCCTTTAGGGATAGCCCAGAAAACTCTTCCTCTTTTTCAAAAACATTGTCTTTCCTTTTGGAAGCTTTAGGTCACATGCAGCGCATTACATATGCTCCAACGTACTGATATACTAGTACAAAATTTGAGCAAGTGAGTTATCCATTTTCTGTATAAACTGCCCCATGTCTGCACATACAGACAATGGACAAATTAACACACACACAGAGTAAAATGGATGAGACATGGAAAGCTAATGTTGGTTGGCATGGCTATTTCCGCTAACGCGTCGTTGTCAAACTAGCATGGACTCAGCTAGCAGTCGCTAATCAGCAGCAAACATATAAAAGTAAAACCCGGAGCCCTTCATCGTTACCCACAACCTTGCTAACAAAGTATTTCTATCGTTACCTGAATGCAGCGTGAATATATTGATCCCTGGATCGGGCACGTTGACTGCAGCAGTCCTGCCCGGTGGTGTCCCGGTGCTACTGCCGGGTTCTCGGGGTCTCCTCCCGGCGCCGCTCCCCCGGTTCCCCTTCCCTTGGTGTGGTTGGGACGCGTGGGGCTGTGGTGGCTGGAGTCCGGTCGATGTGCCCTCACCGACGCGGCCTACCTGCTGTCCCATCCCGGTAGTTTGGTGTAAGGACGTTTGGGACGAAGCGAGCAAACCCCCCCTGCGCACCTCTGGCTCACATTCCCCCAAGCTGGAGCGGCCTGGCCCGAATAGTCTTCCTCAATCCCCTCCCCGCTGTTCTTCACCGAGCTAACGTTAACTAGCCCGTATTAGCTCGTTTGGCTAGCCTGTAAGCTAACGTTAGCAGCTATCAGTGAAACCCACCCACCCTGCCTTTAACAATAAAATCGCAACCCCGGCGTGTGACAGCGATTGTCTCTATTCCGGTGGTCCGGATGGTATCCGAGCAGAAATTAACGGTAACCGACGAGTGAGATTCGGTAAAATCTGGAGCTTTTCAGAAGCGTCTTGCCGTTGTCCGGCCGCTGCGCGCCCCCTCTGACGCCGCCATCTTTACCGCAGAACAGAAGATGTGTTGCACAAGGCGGGGGGTTCGCCGCTATCCCCTGTCACCGTGATCCTCCTCCTCTCCAGCACCGACACTAACCGGGTCCCAACAATCCTCGAACACCGGTTCCAGCGGGCGGGGGGCCCATATGGGATGTCTGATCCCAGAGTCCTGGAGAAAAATGCAGACATCACTATCAGCTTTTGTCAAGCCAATGGAGTGTGGTAATATAAGAAATAAGTGCTTCAATAGGCTAAATTCTCTGTACTATAAAACTGTAGATATGCTATTATTTACATAATATAAAACTTTAAAAATATACCCACTCTGCAGATGCCATATATATGTTAAAATGACTGCATCCACATGGGCAAAACATAACCTAATGAACATTTTTGACCCAATATATTTTTTTGGAGATTTCACAGATCTCACTGAACTGCAGAAAGAGCTACTGAAGTGCTTAACATTACTTATGTATTCAGTATTTTGTGCAAATGCATTTCAATACTTACTATTTACAGCACTTACTATAGACAGCACATTCGTAAAAGATTAAGAAGCAAAAGGAACATACTTCATTTTTTTTATTCTTAACAGTTCTCATACTTTGATGTGTCTACCATCAAAAAACAGAACAACATACTGATTCATATAATTGTCACCTGACACAATAGACTATTCAAGACCAGAAAAAGAATTGATCACAATGAACACAAATATCACAGTAAAGAGGCAAAGCTCTGCGCACAAAAATAAATAGCTCATCTAAATAAACAGCATTTCTGTAGCTTGGCCCCTTTCACCACTATAAATATTATCATTCTTAGCAAAATCTCAAAGGCGTAAAGCAAAATTAAAACTTCAGCCAAATGTGGAGTTCTTAAGAGCTCAAACTCATAAACGTAGCATTAAGTACCACAGGGTATTCCAATAATTCTGCTATCATCTGTACATATTAAAAAAATAAGTTGCTGGTACTTGTGTTGTTTGTTAATATTCATTTTGTAAATGACTGTAGTGAAGCCTCTCTACCCAAAATGAGCAGAGGATCAAAAATAAAAACTTTTGATACAGTGCCACCTTGTGGTCATACAGTTTTTAGAAGTGCTGAGTTTCCCATTGCTGGTTGTGTATCTCATTATTCACAAGCATAAATACACTCTCCCTGCATTGAATTGGCAACATGAACTGTGCAATGATTGACTTGTGATTTCCTCCAAATAATACAAATGTATAAACACATTATTTCGAGACCAAGAGGGCTAAAAGCACACTGAGCAGATAAATTTCTTTTCCGTTAGTTTGACATGAAAATTACTGTTGTGTAAAATGTATACTTGGTATGATTTAAACAAAAAAACACTGTCTTATTTAACCTACGGAGTATCCGACAAAGCAAACTCTAGCCCTTAGTGGTAATCAAGTATCATCACTATTTGGGTGTTAAAATATTCTAGCAGCCAGCTGCAACAGTTTTACATTAGTAGCCATTCTGTAGTGATTCACCCTTTCGGTTGAAATCACTGTACATAACTCACATAACATTGGTCATGAAAAAAATGTATCATTTAGTTTCACAAGAAATTTTCTCTATGACGCTAGATGCATGTTTAAACCATTTCAATTCAATAACCAACAATACATTCAGCAGTCACAGAGTACATTAACTCCCCACATCATAATTGTCATCTGTTTTGTTTAAGATTTTGTTTTATGGAGTTCAGTATCATGATTTTTAATGAGGGTCTAACTTCCTTACTTGTGGCTTGACAGATGGTAAAGAGAAAAACTTTGTATTAAATTTGGGATTTGGAAAATGTAATAGTTCAGGTATGAAAGCTCTATGCCTGAATCATCACAGTTTCACATTTACTATAAAATTACCTCACAACTACATGAGCATCTCAAATGCCACTTTCATTTTCCTCTTTAGAGAAGAGGACCGCAAGTTATAATAGAGACACCAGAGTTTCTCATAGATTTATACAAAACACCAAATAGTGTCCGCTTTTCAAAATAAATCTTGGAGGCAGTGAATATAAATAATATGAAATGTTTTTCCAAGCAGCATACTGAATGTCCTTCACAATAGAATAGCAGTTGCAAACTTTGTTAAATATTAACCATTACTGCATATGTGTAAATATTGTTTGTACTGTGTAATGTTTGTATTCAGCTGCCACATAATTATTGTCACAATTCTATTGGCACAGGGAGTGGTTTCACAGTTGATCAAGGCAAAAGTAATGGGAATACATCTGAAAAATAAATAGCACATAAAAATAAAAGAGTTCACATGTGGTTTTATGTGAACTTGTCATTTTGTTGTGGGGTTGCCTTTGACAACATAAACATATAAGTAAGGCATCATTGTGACTCAGATGTTAAGAGTAAAGAACATTTTGGCAAATACTTATTGGACCTCTTCCCTACATTCATACACAGACTCAGCCATGACCTTAGTGCAATAAAAAAAAAAAAAAAATTAAAGACCAGAAGTTGTGAAAGTAACAGAAAGGTGGGCCAGATTTATACTGATCAGTGATAGTCCTCAGCAATAGTCCAGACACAGGTCACAGCATATCAGAGTCCACCATCAAGCCTCTCTGACAGCTCCAGGAGCGAGGCTTCAGTAACTCTAGGAAGGACGGCTGAAACATAAACACCACCATATGAAGCCGAAGTTATTATCTAAACTTAAGACAGATGAAGCAAAAACAACAAACTTTCAGATGAATTACACTGTATCCATACATACATGTCCTCTAAACACATGATGTGTGTTTAGAGGACAACATATCAAGATGTTGGACAAGGCAATGGTAAAGGTGTTACCTCCTTCAGGGGACAGTAGCGCTGGGCATACCACTCATGGGAGTACAGACAGATAATGACTCCCTGACCCAAGAAGAGGGATGTCCACATGATTATGTTCCAGATGGGACCTTTCCTTTGGTCATGCAGAATGAAGTTGAACATCACTGTGAGAGGATGAAGAAAGAAGATGAGAGTGGAAGAATAATGAAAAGATAAAATTACAATTTTTGTGAGTTTAATGACTCAGACCAGACAATCCTGTTAGCTAAATTTTCAAGCAATTTTGTGGATCAAACAAAGTATATACAGTATATCGAGAAATATTTTGGGTCACGTGTCTGTATGTTCTTTAGGCACTTTTAAACAGCAGTGAGGTGTGATAACAGCAAGGTGTGTAGTAGTATTTCTTCTTACTTCCAAAGCACATAAAAAGGCAGAAGAGCACAGGATAGAAAAAGCCAAAGCAGATGGCGAGAATGTACTCATGGACCACCGCTGACACTGTAAACACAAACAGCATGGCTGCCGGTCTGAAACGCTTCTGAGACATCTAGAATGACAACAGAGAGAAATGACAAGTCGAAACATCAGTGGCTTACAGGTTTAATGTGATCCATGCATTTTTACATTGGAAATCACTTGGAAAATTAGTTTATCGTTAGAAAACAGCAAATAATAAACATACATGCTGCTGTTGTGGTTTTAAAGACTGTACTGCATCAACAGAAAAAAAAAAAAAAAAAAAACCTCACCCACAGGAAATCCCGGTACACATAGTAGTACAACCAGTCATGGACCACTACATTCCAAGTGCGATAGTAATTGGCAAAAGAGGTTGAATTCCACCAATCCTGTTATGTGTGATTGAAATTGAAAGAAGTCAAATATAAAATACAGCATAATTAACACACATGAAATAAAATACAATAAATCCTGATCTATATTTTTCAGTAGATAATAAAGTGAAAGCAAAAGAAGACCACCTTGTAAAACATCCTATCAGCAAAACGAAGCATCTCAGCAAATGCATTGAGCCAACAGTGGAGGAAGGCAAAGAATCCCAGGAAGAGAACCAACACTCCTGCAAAGAAAGAAAGAGGCTTTATCATGAATGTGGCTGTTACAACAATACTGCAACTCTCTTCTCCTGGCATTAAAAAAAAAAACAAACAAACAAAAAATGAATCAAAATCTGATCTTACCTGGCAGGATGGAGTTAAAGACACAGAGGACCATGGCCTTCAGGTCAAACAGCTGTAGACTGACACTGCGAAACTGAGGGATGCACAGCCGCACAAACACGTAATAGGCATAAAACAGACAGCCTAGTACCTGTGAGGTGGGAATGGTTGGAATCGTCAGAAAAATTGACTATTATTCATGGCTTGAAATCTTAAGTAAGGTCAGCTGTAAAATGTAAAAGAGGGTTGGCACCTGAAGTAACTTTGTGGCCACGTAGCCCCATCTGATCACTGGGTTCCTGCATTACAAGTGAAACAAGATTTGATCACACATGCCCTGTTTAATGCAAGACAACACTGCTATGAGTTCAGGTCTCAAAAGGACATCAAAAAATGCCAACTGACAGATATAGACAGCATCTGTTTACCTGGGGTACTTGTCTCTGTAAATGAGTGTAGGTGCAAACAGGAAGTAGAGATACTGAGAAACCTGAGGGACCACAGGGCTAGGACCTGTAGATAAAAGGGGAGTCTGTTTATCCACATTAAGACTAAGAGAAAAGGGGAAGAAAGTAGCGGTGAGAAAGAAAGGAATTGTGTGAATTAGCAAATAGCAACTATACATGGATACACAAGAGAAAAAGAAGAAAAAAAGATGTTTTAGTGGTAAAGTTACATACTAGTCTTATCTTTAGCCCAGGCCAGAACTCTTGGTACATTCTCCCTGACAAAGGAGTGTGCTTTCATCATTAGTCGCACCTGGAATTAAATTTTACCACAGATTTTATTCAAGAAGGGAGGGTGGTTTTATATAATAGATTTCAAAAAAGGCATTTGTAAGTGTTTACATAAGGCAAGAATTATAGCATAATACAACACGCCGACTGCAACTCCATTGATCAAACTAAAAGCGGCCACACTGGTCATCTACCTGTTCTAGGATGATGATGAAGCAGGACGCAGGTGGCAAACTGTTGGTCACCACCACATATGTGGGGAGGAATCCCAGACCCAGAGCTTGGTAGAGCAGGAATACAGAACCAAACAGCAAATTGTACAAGCTGGGGTGACTATAAGACCCATACTGGGTATGTGACCACAGATGGAAAAGAGCATAGGGAACCAGCAACACAGACAGGAACATGCAGATCCATGTGCACACCACCAGGGGGGACTGTCCAAATGCATAGACCAGCAGGTCAAAGTCCAACACCAGTCTGAGGCAAAGGAGAAAAAATAGACAGAAACTTTAAGGCTCTGCTCATGACAGATTATCTCAGCAAGTTCAAAATATATGATATAAACTTAAAGAATCTAAATAAAACATAAACAAAGGCAAAAGAAAACAGACAAGATGATGATTTGTCAAGTGAACTGACTCAACAAGCATGGACACAGAATCAAAAGCATAATGCGTAGCAGTCTTATATTACCTGCCTTCATCAATGAAATCTACCACAAGTGTACTGAGGATAAAGAGAATGAGGAGGGCAATAAACATGTGGTAGATGGTCCTGATGTGGTTCACCTCAAACAGCTCACTGCAGAAAAACAAACACACAATCATCAAGCAGCAGTAAAACTGTCAACCGTAACAAATATATATTATAATGTACCTGGGACTTGTGTATGCAGTATTTATATGACTTTAACATCAAAGTGTCAACTTACTCTAGGAGGGACCTGCGACTGACAAACTGCTTTCCCTGGCCATGAGGAGGACGAAAATGTCTAAAAGGAAGCAGAGTGAAACCAGTGACTGGTGATTTTATTATCTTCATAGGAGGAAGAGCATGTGTACGAGCATGAGAGAAAATGGGACAGTTTCTCCACATAGGCTGTAATCCCATATATACCCCATTTAAAGCAACATAAACAGCAACATTTGATTTGATAGAAAAGCTGAATGGCAATACCTGAGTTTGCTCCTCTCCTTCTCTGACAGTGGGGGTGAGAAGACAGCGGGAATAGGTGCAGGCTCCAGGCTGGCTGACTCTTCAATAAGACAGTCCATGAAGTCATTGACCTGACTGTCAAACTGACGCATCAGGTCACTCTTCAGGAACTGAGAAACAAAAAAGGACACAAAAAAGTTATCATTCACAGTCTGCAAATACTTGAACAACTATGGTGTATTTTGCATTTCTGTGGGGGTAATGATGTTCTTCCTGAATATGCAAATTTGGTGTTATGTTGCAAAAATTCACTGCTTCAATTACATTGTCACTGCGTTTCTTTTTACAATATTGCTCAAGAAAGAATAATTTTCTCAAGTGTCCTAAGGCAACTCACTGAACCACCCAATGTCATCAGCAGTTTCTCTGGAGAAGAGCATTAGCAGTACAGCTAAAATGTAAATGTAGTCCTGAATAAAACATTTTGTTACAATAAAATGGCTGTATTATTTAATGGATTGAACTGATACAATGGACTGACAACGGTACACAGTTTGCGCATAAAGCATATAAAGCCCTTGCATAGTGCTCTTAACTGCATAATGAATTTGCATGTTTATCAACAGTCAACACCAAACCAGAGTACTTTCATGACAAAAGCATTTCTGTATACGATGATGTGTATGATGACACTATAACTGTCAGTCAACACTGACACATACAGTATGTGTGACAAACTGCTTGTATTGCTTGCAGCATTTGTGCAACTGCCCCAGTGTATGATGCATGCTGTTTAGCACAAGGAAGTCTGCAGTTATCTTTAGTAAATAAGTGTAAAGTCACTCTTCTAACATCACTAAATGCATCATGAACTTTATTTTAATTATCATGTTTCACATGCAGCTACATTTGATTTCAAGATATGAATTTACTTTCATATCAACTGTCATTTTGTTGTAGTTTATAAAGTTTTACAAACAATGTTGATCAGATTGTGACAAAATACCCACATCTAAACATAAATAAGAATGCTATAAGGCTGCTACTGATGGAAATATACCAAACAAATGAAATAAAAATTTGCTGTATTTTTGACTCTGTGTTAATCTAAACCAAATTACTCACTCTCAACAGCAGGGTGAAAAAACAACAATATATCAATTGGAGGAAACCCAAGATCCCTCCAATTTAAAATTCCCCTGTTCTTTTTTTTTTTTTTGAATTTACTTTCATATCAACTGTCATTTTGTTGTAGTTTATAAAGTTTTACAAACAATGTTGATCAGATTGTGACAAAATACCCACATCTAAACATAAATAAGAATGCTATAAGGCTGCTACTGATGGAAATATACCAAACAAATGAAATAAAAATTTGCTGTATTTTTGACTCTGTGTTAATCTAAACCAAATTACTCACTCTCAACAGCAGGGTGAAAAAACAACAATATATCAATTGGGGGAAACCCAAAATCCCCCCAATTTAAAATTCCCCTTTTTTTTTTTTTTTTTTTTTTTTTTTAAATAAAGATACCTGAATTACTGACCTCTGCTTTCCTTTTCAGTTGTAGCTTTTTGCTGATGACATGTTCCACTTCAATTTTTCCTAAAATTGGAAAGAGAACATAAAATAACAATTGTCAACATGCTGCTTTGAAACCTACCAATGTAAATACAACACTATGCTATGGACACACCCAAATTAACAATAGGGCCAACTGAGTTGCCAAGTGACCCTGTCTAAACAGAACATTTTAATAAATGACGGACAGATAACATTCAAGAGGCTATCTGTAAGGCGTGTGAGATATCACACAAGAAGAAATCCCCCTGGTATTATTGTTCATGTAGAATTAGAATCTGTTTTTAATAGCACACATAACCCTAAACAAAGGACTTTATATTTTGGGATTGAAATTTTAAACAGTGACTTAAACATCTGACAGTGTGCTAATACATTCATGTCTAGTGTCTGACAAAGTAAGCTAATTTGAATGCTTGTGACTAAGGTTATTGTAGGTTATTAGTCATGACAGCTCTCGTATGAGGAACAAGTTCAATCAATTACAGAGGTCAGTCACACAAGCAACAGTAGCACTCCACCCATGAGACCAGTGTTTATCAGTCATCATTTTCACAATCAGTTAATCACTTGGGAGTCAGATGAGCAGTAAGCAGTCTCTACCCTGGTTAACCACACAAGTTGTACCACGGGTCAAATTATGCTCAAGAGAAAGACATCATCATCATATGGCATGGGTTCAGTGAGTAACACATCCAAGGAAATTAAGGGGTTGAGTCAACCTTCACCTTTCATCTCAAATTTCACAGAAATAAAAAAGATCAATGTCCTCTTCCTTAGCCCTGCTGATGAGGGAGATGAGTTTGTCTTACCATTGCTGGTAATGTGGTTGTCTCCATTGCCTTGCCAATGTTCTCCTGGACTATGTTCCCCATCCAAAGAGCTATCTAAGTCAGGGAAGGTGGGCATTTTAGGAAAGGCTCGGCAGCGGGACCGGAGGACACTGTCCTCCCCATTCTCCATCCTAAAGAAACAAATTCAATTCAAGGTGAAGAAACAAAAAGTGGCAGCATGACCAAAGTGAAGGTACTATGTCTTGTGGACACATAACGAAGCAGGATTCTCACACCACCTCACATGGGTAAGAAATGCTAAGTATTTCGACTGACAGACAAAGCAAACCCAGTTGACAATCAAATCAGCCTCACATGACACAGAGACACAGCAGATAGACAGCTAACACTTTAGTTAGCTCTCGCCAGCTAATATTACAAGAGGCGATTAAAATGAGCTAAATAGACAGCTAACCAGCCCAATGGTTTTATTATGATGTAACGCTAACATTACTCTTACGATAATGCTTCTGCCTGTTGATAGTCACGACTGTTAGCTCTGGTGAACAGCTAGTCCATTTAGCCAGCCTGTTGACGTCTACCGTTAGCTACGGAGCAGGTTGACAGAAACGTTGACTGACACCGAAGAAAATGTAATAAAAATGCTGACCATCGACTTCCTGCAAACTTACTCGCTTCAATCGCCGGGTGCACTCCTATTCAGCTAACCTCCGACGTGACCGAGTCGAAACTCAGATGTGCAACTCCCTCAGTCACAACAATCTGAGCAGCTGCTCACCTTCCCCATTGAAAAACACAGAGGAGATGATGAGCAGGGCAGCGGCTGCTGATTGGCCCAAAGTCTCTCCTCCTTTCGACGTCACCGGCGCCCACAACATCGGCCACAGCTGTCATCAGACTAAATCATCAGAGCAACAGCAATTGCCACAGCCGTCTAAAGCAAACCAAAGTAAATAAATCTAATACAGATATAACTGTCCTGAAGGATTAAGTCAAATTCAAATTATACCCCAACTTAACTGGGCTGTTAATAGTTTCTAGACAGGACTATATGTCATGTCAATAGCTTGTGATAAACTACAGATATTTAAAAACACAAACTCTTCCATATAAAGAAAGTTCACATGAACCGATTAACCTGCTAGGGGGAACTATGGGAGGGACGGTGTCTGTATGCTGGGCAATGACGTGGCCCAGGATCAGCTGTGTTCATGACAGACAAAAGGGAAAGGCCCCACACCAGGACCCCCAGACTGAAAACATTTTGCGTCTCTTTCTGGTTGTTTTGTTTCTCTTTATGGTAGTATTGAATCTCTGTTTTGTGTCTCTTTGTGGTGATTTTGTGTCTTAACTGAGTTCTATGACTTTCAAACAAAAATACTAAGATTCTCTTCACACAGAGGCCCTGGCCCATGGACCCCCTGACCTTTCGGACCACTGGTAGGCCTGTTCGGTAATCCATCCATACCTGTGTTGCAATTAAACCCAAATCAAGTACAAGAACACTTTTAACTGCAATAATGACAAAGATAAAACTATACTTTGAAGCCCCTCTTCAGATAATAAAGCATATTCACCTCATGGACCTTATCTATTTTAGTACTATATATTTCCACATTTCTCCCAAAAAGTTGCAATAAAAAAAACCAACACACAAAACAATAGTGCCACAATGAATGTGGGGCTTATTGGGCCTTACCTACATGCATGCATGTTAGCTTAATGTACTGCATGTAATATATTTCATTTGGTTGAGCTCTAATGTGCATAATCATGATTATATTATATTATCTCTGTTATTTGTAATACATGTAGATCTATATGCATGTCCCTTGAGGGCCACTGCCACACTTGAAAAATTTAACAAGTACTTAAAGGCAATCAGGGGCAGAATGGAGTACCATGGTTTTCTGCCTATGTTGTGGATAGATTAAATCAGAAATTGTGGATAATATTTTTGAGGACCTTTGGAATACCCAGAGGTAAACGGCAGCATTTAATGTTGAAATATTTTTGTGTACCACCTTTATTTTTTTGTACAAGTGAAAGTGGCTTAATAAACCCTTTCTGCTTTCATCTACAAGAGGAGTTGGTGTGAGCTTTGTGGATACAAAGGAATAAATATGTGTCAACAAGTTTAGGATCCTATAATGTAGTTTTTTTGATTTAGTACCCTATTGTTCTCACATTACACATAACTAATAGGAGAACAACTATCTCATATCGAGTCTTTTTCAAGTTCATAAACAGTACATAAGTAAAATTATTCCAATGAAGGCAGTCTGATTTGAAATATTCTCAAAAATGGGTTCAGTCACATTCAATCAGCAGTGAACTCTCAAAATTATTTTTGACTTTATGTGCCCATAAAAACTGAAAAACACATTTTTGAGTGTATACTCTAAGTAAAACATGATGAGCTGCAAATCATAAAACGAGCTGGTCTTATGAGCTGAGTGTATCAAATGCAATTAACTGCAAAAACACAAGGACACATTGACAAAAATCCTGAACAACTACATTATCTATTAAAATGACCTTTCCAACAGAGCACATATATAACCACAGATTTGCTTCCAGACTGATTTGTGCATGATCAAGGGGCACAAACATGATCATGATTGGTGTCAACATGCATTTAGTAAAAGGCAGTCATATCATACTTGCATGAGTCAGTATGTAGAATGACCCAGTGACTCAGGCCATTTCAGTTGCGTAGGCTGCAGGCGTTTTCTGCCATAACAAGGCCACTCTGTGATGCGCTCAGACAGTCCTACCCAATCAAAATGGCCGTACATGTTTAAAATGTGCCCATGGTCACACAAATTGCATGGGAACCGTCGCCCAACTATATTTTGACCTCTGGACATCCCTGACCTTCGAGACTTGGGAATTGGCAGTCCAAACAAACTTTCATTTCCCATTCTGGTAACAGGCCTGAAAGTCTGACCTGTTGCCCACTCACTGGTACTGTACAAGTAGTAGTCTTTCATTTCCTACTGTGTGTGAGCTTATTCTGCTTAATGAACACAGAGGAAAGAACTATTATAAGTTCTGCATGTATGGTACCTAATGGTATTCAGTACAAATAAATCAGATTCGCATGACTCAGTTTCATTCCACATTTAAAACAATCATTTTATTTTGATAGTGTTGCACATCATTCCCCTGTGCGGAGGATGAGACACTGAATACACTGACTTGTAAAAATTAAATACCACATCAATTTGATTTGAACATTTGGTGCCACATTAACATTTCAGAAACATTTATATAATGCTTCATATGGTAAACTCTTACAATTCATTCAGTTTTTGACAATTCAATAAATACACACAAAATACAGTACAACACTGAGTAAATTAATCCTAACAAAATTGTCCATGTAAAATATCTCAACATCATATATCCCTGCTTTCTCTATGAAAATGATATTTACAGAGTTTAATTACACACAGGCGCACACACAAACAGCCACACACACACTACTCATTGGTCACAAGAAGCAGAGGGGTCCCAGGACCACAGCGGTCTCAGGGCTAAGGGGAGATAGTCCCCTCATCTCCACACCCAGATCTCTGATGGGAAGCAACTCCATATCTCCTCGATGCTGCTCCGTGCCCCCCCGAACCCTCACAACCACCTCCACCTGCAAAATAATCAGCCAGTAGAAGAGACATGGATTCTTCTTGAATTTATAATCTATTCTGGTGACTGAAACCTTTTATGGCAGAGAATGGCAGGGTGGGAAATTATTTTTCCTGGAGCCTAAAATATCTGCTCATAATCTTAAATCTCCTATTGATTAATTAAATCTCCTTTTAATTATGTCCCTGTATCTATATTGCGATTACCTGGAAAGTGCCAAGTGTCAATACAGGAAGAATATGCAATGTTGAGATAGTGTTTGATGAATTCACACTAATCGTACTTCACTGATTTGTGCTAACTTACACCCAAACTCCTTGTAAGCACTTAATAAACTGGTAGATCCTTTCATTGAAAAAGAAAGGGCTGGATCTACAGTACATGCACATCTGTGTCTTTCAGTTTCTGTTCTTGGGATGCCCCCGGCACATCGCTCTAACACTAATAAAATAGTTTAGTCTTACCTCACAGCCTTTTCTGGACACTGTCATAAGGTGTGAACCAATTTCTTTGCCAGAGTCTCCCAGGAGGTGAATGCTCCTATTGGTTGAATTAGTTGTGGCAGCAGTAATGGAGTGGTTTGCTGTACAGCTGACAGTCATGTGCTGGAAAGATGTGTGGCTTTGTAACCGCAGGAACCTCAGCTGGACAACATCCACACCAGCATACTCAAACTAAAGGAGAAAGAAATCATTCAGTTTAAGACAGAAGAAATTGTTCACTGTTCGTAGATGTAACAAATGCTCCTTATTCAGTCCTTAAATGAGTCAGTCTTACCTTGTTTCCACCATGTTGGTGACTAAACCACTGGAGAGATCTTGATTTTTGCCTTTCTGGTTCCCACCTAAGTGTAATCTACACAATACGGCATTATTTTTATTTTTAAAGCCATTCTTAGCACCACCTAATTCCATACATCAAAATTAGTGAATAGTTATGCCCTTCCTTCCCAGGCTTTATTTTTAATATTCCCAAAAGCCCACACTTTATTTATTTGTTTTTGTCTGTGTAAACAGCTTTATATACAGTATATGCTGCTTCCTCTACTTAACATCGACTGAAAAATCTGTGTACCTGAGACTTTAAAGGGTCAATACAGGTGGTTCCTCCTGCTGTGAAGTTACAGAACACCTTCACAGCATCATAGGGGCAGCCTTGGTTGGGGTCCATGTAAAAGTAACCTGAAAGATAATCACCTTGAGTGTTTGTCAATCACAGATTTTTTTTTTCATACAGTGTATTGTCAGTAACGGATTTACAACATATGACCCTATTCAGACCCTCACCATCATTCAGATGTGGATGCACGAGTCCCAGCTCATGGCAGGTGGTGGCAGGGTCATCTTTGGTTCCCAGGAGCCAGCTGAAGGATTCCTCCGCCTCATCTCCTTGAAGTAGTCTTCTCCTCACCAGCCTGGGCCTCTACATTGGATTTCATCATTCATAGAGACAACCAAAGATTCAATCAACCAGCCAACAACCAATCATAATACAGCTCCTTGAATATAAAGAACAATTGAACGCAAAGTAAAATGAGGACATTTGTAAATAAAGTGCACATGAGAAGAAAGCTTGTACCAACTTTTTGTTGTCCTCTCCTTTGTTGTCCTCTCCTTTGCTTCAGGAGGGTCAGAGTTTGTCTGGACTTTGGCACATTTTTCAGTTTAGATCTTGTGCTGGTTCTTGTTTTGGGCCTCAGCTCATTTCTTTGACCTGGACTTGACTCAAGTTTTGATCGCCGTCTTTGTGTAGGCCTGTGTTTGCCTGGCGCACCTGGTTTTCCCTGTGAAAGAAATGACTTTGACTTTAGGAGCATGGCACAAAGCTACTGGCCAATAAGCAGTATTCACTGCCATCAAGCTTCAAATACATTTTAAACCTTTACAGTATGTTGCAGTTCAGTTCGTTAATCAGGTCAAACATTTTTACATCAGTTTACTTGTATTGTGTCTGGAAAATGTCTTACTGGAGGTCCACGCTTTCCTTTCACTCCCTTTAGTCCTCTCCTGCCTTGGACACCTTTCACTCCCTGTTAAGGTCCAAACACAATCATTCCATCTTGCACCCAAGGGTCAGAAGAGGCAACTACAATTATCTATAGACCATCCACTACAAAGCTATCTTAACTTACACAAATTGAAAACCAAAACTGTGATGTCAGGATAGTGTCTTTTTTTGATAAAACAAATATAAAAAACTCTTGACCAGTTCAGGTCAATGAAGATCCAAAACCATAGAAAGTCAAAAACTAACAAAAACAGAAAAAGGTTATAAATTGTCTCTCACCTTTTTTCCATGCTCACCCTGTATAAAAGACAATAAAAAATTACTTTAGTAAAATATTTCAGTAAACTATTTTAAATCAAAATTTTCAAAACAACATACAGGATGTCCAAGGAAGCCTTTTCGCCCAGGTACACCACGATGACCAGTGACCCCCTGAGAAAATCAGTCAATTGATTAATGATTTGCCACCTTTTATAAAGACAGTACAAAAAGAAAAGTAAAACAAAATTTACCTGCTGTCCTTTACGACCTCTTCGACCTTTCAGTCCCTGCAAACCAGGATTTCCCTGAGATACAAGTTAGAAATGTGATCAACGTGAAATTATGCTTTTGCAACTGTTTTACATTTAAAACAATGCTAACTAACCTTTAGCCCCGGTGGCCCAATTGGTCCCAGGATCCCTGTGTTACCTGGGAGACCCTGTATATAAAGAAAAAACATTCTGCTCCCACAACAGTTATATAACTCTCGGACCATGCAATTAGAATTTATGTGTTAATATGAATTTCTGTTACAGAAACCCCATTCACTGTGAGGTGTGGACATGTATTAAACTGTATGCCTGACTTTTACCTTTGTACCACGATTTCCAGATTCACCCTTCTTTCCTCTCAGTCCTGGAATACCCTGTATCAATACCAGTGATGAAGCAGATGAACAGGTATTATGCCATGTGTATTAGTGACCTTTATATTGTGCTGTTAAACAAACTTGTATACCTTTGGCCCAATCGGTCCAGGAGGTCCATGTCTTCCTTTTGGTCCAGTTTTACCCTGAGAGATGCAATAAGACACCGCTAAGCCACATTTCTTAGCACAGTGAATTAGATAAAATTGTTCAATAACTAATCATTTTATACATATACTTAAGATTAACATGGATATGATTATAATAGTCACCTGACATTTAAATAAATCACATTATATTGTACCTTAAACCCTCCTGCTCCCATGTTTCCCCTGATCCCAGGAGCCCCAGGTTTTCCCTAGAATTTTAAATGTATGTATTACAACAAAATGCCACAATAGAACAGATATTTATGAGTGAAGAAACATCTTTATTACATTGTAAGGTTGCATGTTATCCATGACTTTGTTGAGCTTACCATCTTGCCAGGCTGGCCAGGTTTTCCAGGCGCTCCTCTGAAACCAACATCACCCTTTGGGGTGAGCACAGGATATATCTGAGTAAAAAGGTTGAGCAACAAAGTAAATTGCAGCATGGTACATTTTTCTTACCGGATCTCCTTCATTACCCTCAACCCCCAGTAACCCGTCCAAACCACTCAGGCCCTGAGAAAATAATCACAAAACAAGAAACCAATAATCATCGTCATTCAGTTTTAATGTCATTTCAATACTTGAAGTGAGCAAGTTTCCTGCAGCAGTAATTGAATTTATATATAAATACATAAATTTAAGTATTTTACAATATGTGTGTAAAGGGATACTTGCAGGTTTTCCAGGTCTTCCAGCAGGTCCTGCTTTCCCCGAGAGGCCTTTAGCTCCCTACAAACCAGATTTCATTAAAAGAACTTAAGGTCCAGGATTTGACTTTGACAGGCCCAAAGTAGACTGTAGATTGAGTAATTAAATCCATACGTCTGTCCCATTCTCTCAGTAACATCTTCAGGAATTTGTTCAAATTTGGCACAAATGTTCACTTGGATTTAAGGATGAACTCATTAGTCAAAGGTCAACAATCAAGGTCATGGTGACCTCACAAAACACATTTTTGGCTGTAACTCACAATTTCATACACTAACTATGATACACTTTAACACAAATGTCTAACAGGATAAAATGATGAAGTGATAATATTTCATATCCAAATGGTCAAAGGTCAACTTTACTGTGACATCATAATGTTCTGCAATGCCGTAAATCGAGAAGGGGAGATTGTGACCATATTTCCTGAAACTCAGCTGGTTGGTGGATTTCAGGAATCAATGACAAAGATCAGGATAGCTTGCATTAAGTCCCTTTGATAGTGTGTTATACACAGTGTGAATGTCGGGTTTTGTTAGTATCAAGAAATGTAAATTAAAGTACTATATACAATATGTATAGTTTTTTAGTTCTGCCTGTTCTCTCATTTTCTATTTGAGAGACAAAGGTAGGTAGAGGTAGAGTTTAATTCAATTTCCATTAGGATTTTGTAATATTTGTATTGTGGGATCTGAATTGGAACAATCATAAAACTCACAGTTCTTCCACGGCCCCCCTTCTTCCCTTTCCTTCCAGACTGGGCTCTTTTTCCCTTTAAGAAAGTGACAGGAAATAAATGCCAGAATTCAGCTGCTGATCAAAAACTATAACTTGTCATGTGAACAGCCAGGTGGAAACTGTGTCTCCATTATGACAACTTTACTTTAAGGATTAAGAGATACAGTTTCTGCTTTAGATTTCATCTGAGTTTAGCGCTGGCTTCCTTTTACCTTTGGTCCCTGAATTCCTTTAGTTCCTGGAAGCCCAGGAGGACCAGCAGGTCCAGGTCGACCTTTACCACCTGGAGAGCCAATGAACCCCATCTTCCCCGGTGTGCTCTGAGAAATACAATCACAGTCTTTAAATTATACAACAACTAAAGTAAAGATTTATGGAATTGATAAAATATCACACCATTCAGTAACACTTAAAGGTCTAATTGCAAAAGCTGAGAATTGCAAACCCAATCCTTGAGAATTCTAATAAGCTATTTTACCACTGTGCCTCGTGTCCCAGATTCTCCTTTTGCACCTTTTTGACCCTTTATTCCCTGGGAAATACAGAGGATTATACACATTGTGTCACTGTTGTTACATCTTCATGCACACCATTAAATATGCTTGACCAGATTAGCAATGCCAACAGGTTGCAACAGATCATGAAATCCCACCATGTCTCCTGTGATGCCTGGAAGACCGGGTTTTCCCTTCACACCATGACGGCCCTGATTTGTGCAAACACACAGCAGAGACAGCATTAGATATCAATTAATTCCTATAAATGGACAAATCAATCCCATAGTGAGAACATTTCACTGCATCAGAATGAATGGTACATTACACCTTTAGTCCAGGGATTCCGGTTTTGCCATCAACACCTCTGTTGCCTTGCAGTCCCTGAAAAAACACAGGAATTTATAGCATGTATCTTATTTTGTAAAGTTTTATTTTTTAATATTAAAAATAAAACATACCTGAAGTCAAGATACGTTTCATGACATAAATCAAAGTTACAACCTTGTAGGGCTTAACATAACATATTTAACATACCTACTTAAAATATATGACAGTGTGGCCTGTATGTAACTAAATTGTAACTTTCAACCCATCAAAGTCAACATTTTTATACTGTAATAAAAGTAGTTAGTGTGGAGTTTTTCAAGAATATTGTAGTAATAATAATAAATACATCAATGTCATGTTAAGTCAAACATACTGTTGTTGATGGTCCAATTTGTCCAGGAGGACCTATACTACCAGGGGGGCCCTGAAATGAGAAGAAGGAAACCTACAGAGTCTATTTCCAGTTGTGTAATATTGAAACAGGTTCAAACATTTATACATATTTTATACATGACATGAACATCACATGATGTGCTCATGATGCAGCGACTGATAGTTATTGACCACCTACAGAATTTTGACATCATTAACAATCAAAAAATCCAGCAGTATTACGAACAGTTTGTCCCCGGAGCCCCCTCTGGCCTTTGACTCCTGCTGCCCCGGTGTTGCCCCCTGGTCCAAACTGTCCAGGCACGCCTGATGGACCTCTGGTGCCTGGCTCACCCTGTGAAAGTGTTGTTGTCATCATCATCAGAAATCTTCTGCCAGCTTCAACATTGACTTGACATCAACCACCACTGACATTAAAGACAATATAATTTCTAAGGTAATGTCCTTCATCATTGTTTCTAACAGCTTACATGACTGACCTTGAGCCCTGGAACCCCGTGTTTTCCTCTGTCTCCTGGTGCACCCCTGTATCCCTGCAAATGAGGGTAGACAGAATGGAGAGGAACACAGTGTCTTCTTTTAATTCACACATCAAAAAATATTCAGCACACCCCAGTGCATCAGAAGTTCATATTAATATTTTACAGATCAGTGGCTGAAGGCTGCCTGAATTTTGGATTTTTAGGATTCTTAAGATGAATTTTCAGAGTAGAAACATACCGGAAGATTTAAGGATGCAGATAACACTGCCCTGAGTAAAAAAACCTCCAAGGTAACTCCAATGTAATACAATTTTAATCAAAGCTAATTAACTCTCACTCACCTGTTTCCCTGGTGGCCCCTTTTTTCCCTGCGGCCCTTGATTGCCTCTGTCACCTTCAGCTCCTTTTGTTCCTTTCTGTCCAGGAGGTCCAGAGTTCCCTTTATCACCCTGTATTATTAAGTAAAAATTGATAAAATCATATTCAATCTACATACAGGGTGTGTGTGTGACTCATGCTGTGTTTTGAAATATCATCAAAGGTCAAGATTTTTCTATTTCTATAAATATTTACAAACACACATTCACAAACTGACATTTACTCACAGATATGCCTTTTTGTCCAGCTGGGCCCTCAGGTCCCCTCAATCCAACTGGACCCTAAACACAAAAGCAACATTGTCTTTTCATACAGTCAAACTACAGACTGCATAGGCCACTAAACCTGTGTTTTTAGATAATCTGAGTTTATTTTTTTTAATAAGTTAAAATACAAAAGATAAAAATCAAATCTGTGAGCAACACAATCTAATCAATCTACCTCCTCACCATCGAGACCAGCAGCTCCCTCCTGCCCCAAAGTCCCTGTTGATCCCTGAAGATACAACATGAAGAGACAAACAAGCTACTGAGTGATGAATCATTAAATGGCTTCACAGACCAAATTACCGGTGCATTTAAACAGACAGTGCTAAGTAGAAGAAAAACTCAACCTTATATCCTTTGACACCAGCTGCTCCAGTTGGTCCTTGGGATCCATCTTTACCCTAAATGTAGAGAGAATGAAGCAATGATTGCCCAAAAAAGATTGATGTACTTCATATGCCTGTCCCACTACATACTCTAAAAGTGTCCTGAAGAAGGACAGGAAGCTCGTACACAACAACTCATCTTAGAGAACTTTTTGCTTAGAACTGTGAGTTTTGTTTATCTTAAAATGAATTTAAATTTGTATTTCACTGTATTTACAGATTGTTGTTTATTTACCGTAATTTATGTGATCTTTATCATATGCAAAAAATGTTCTATCATTTGTTGCACAATTATACAAACTTCTATGTGTCAATATAGCCAAAATATGTGAAAAGGATAATTTCTTATCATGATCAATTAGACAATATGAATTTAATATGAATACAGCTCTGGTTATGCTAAGACATATTTCTGAAGTACGTTTTCACAAGAGACAAATATATCACAAATTGTCAATCAATACAGACAAAATTAGCCATATATAATGTGTCCCCTAAAACAGATTTTGAAATATAGTGATGAATGGGGCAATTCATTTGCCTACACAACCATGGTGGTTAAATTAATATAGCATGTTTAAATTTGAGACTTTTTGAAGTACGAGCATAATCTATGACACCATGGATCATCACCCAAACGTCACAAGAGGTCTGCTGTTGGCCAACAGACAAGTGAAACTCAAAAGAAATTAGTATTAAAAGATCATCTTTTTTTTATGGTTGGCATTTTGACTTGTTGAACATAAGTGTGACTAAGAAGAGCCAGTCCGGACCAGTGCTAGAGCACGCTGATTCATTTTTGGCATGGCCTAATTCAAGAGATGACTGTAATGTAGTCATCATTGATGTTATCAGTGTCTGTGCACTCTGTGCTCTGCTGGGTATTCAGACTTGACGTAGGCAGCATAGGTGGAATTAGCCACATAAAATCAGCCTAATCATTTTGGACAGTTATATCTTTGATTTTTGTTTGTTTTCATTCTTTAGCCTATGTTCTCCTTTAATTCTTCTGGTGGTTACGTTGACAGGCAGGTGGTGGCTCTGAGCATTTGAGCTTGTTTTTCATTCCTCTACAGCAAGTTAATGTATGAAATCACAAAGTTTGGCTGCAGTGAAATGTGCCACTTCTGGAGACCAACAACATGTAATTGCTCTAAAACAAAATTTACCTACTGAAACTAAAGATTAAACTTGACAACATAAGAATAAAAATAAACTTACTGGGTAACCTGTAACTCCACGAGGGCCCACTAGACCTTGTGGCCCCCAGTCACCTGGAGGGCCACGGGGCCCAATCTCACCCCATGGTCCAAT